CCCGCCCCCCGCCAGCATCCGCGAGGGTTGCCTAGCGATGGCTGGCTGGGGCCCCTCTGCAGCCTGGCCACCTCCCTCATTCCGACCGGGGGGCAGCGGGGGCCCGAAGAGGTGAAATAGCAACGTGTAACGATGCCATACAAACCTGATAAATTGCATTAGATGCAAATTATCACCATCGTATTCGGCTTTCCAAAAAAACCCTACCCCTCACAAACAGCTACTGATCAACAGACAGCGTAGGAGCAGGGGAGACTGCATCCTCCCTATTAATGAGGTAGCACGCTTCATAGCAGACGCAACGTTTTCCAATTAGAGCCCTGCTTGAGCATTTTGTCCCATCTTGTGGTTTCTCGTCTGTTTGTTTGTTTTATACTTCATTACATTTAGAGAAAACAATCCTTAGACGAGCAGGATATGGCTTGCCAAAACCGCACAGCTTAACAACAAAGAACAGGATTTTATGGAAGAAAACATCCTTCCAGTTAACCCATCCTGGTAAAACATGGAGAAAAGGACATCTCCTTCCTAGGTGTACAAAAATAGAGGTAGATAGGTAACTGTAGAGTACTGAAACAAAGCAAGCACACTGGAGAGAAATTTAGTGAAATTAACCCTAATTTAAGAACTGAATTCTTCCAGAGAGATTCAAGTGGCTGCTTTCAAATCTCAAGTCTCACAACTTGCTAGCAACAGCTGATGTCAGCTTTGTCCCATTCGTACACTTACACCACCTATATTCTTGTTTCTATGCTTTCCTGCCTATAAACAGCTACATCTAGGTCTCATAAAAACACAGAGGTGGGGGAACACCAAAAAAAAAACCCAAAAACAACCAAACCCAAAACAAAACCCAATCCACAAACACATTTAAAACAAGAAAAGGGAATTGACAACAGGAAAAATTAAATATTATTCAACTACACACTAGAACAGACGAGTTCATGAGGAAGAAACTTACAGGTCTTATTCCTCAGAAATGATTCCACCCAGTTCTTCCAAAGGGATGTTTCTCTGCAGCAAAGGGAGCCTAAAACTCAGTATTTCAGTGCTGGAGGCACAGGAAAGCCTTCTCTGTTCTGTTCCCTGCTGTGAGGATGATTGGTGCTTTTCATCCAAGTTTTGAGTGATACAGAAGCTGTCTTGGGAGCTGACACCTGAAGCCAGGTTTCTCCCACCCAAGGGGAGCTGCCAGAAGAGCCACGCTGTCTCTTACACAGGCTGTTCCTTGGACAGCGTGAAGTTTGTATTCCTCCCTACACTGGAGGTAACCTTCATAGGGTATGGAAGCCTCCTTCCATCACCTCAGCACACAACCAAACAACTCTTCAGAAACTGAAAGACGGACCCGTAATCAAACTCTTTCACGATGAGAGCCTGGCATGAAGCAACTATCACCACGCTCTTTATCAGCAACTGTTTCATGAGCCAGGCACGGAAAAAAATGCCGCGATGTCTCTTGCCAACTAATACGATCTCGTGAAAAGGTAAAGGCTTGTCTTAGTGGATGACACTGCTAGAATTTGATGCCTAAATCCCACTGAGATCTGTGACCAAAGCCTGTAAGAAAATGCCTCATGCCTGAAGGGAGATGAACGCTTCTATAGTTGCCTAACATGCTACCTGCTTTTCCATTCAGGCAAACCAAGCAATCAAGAACAATTTTCCCAATGCAGATGAAGTCTGCAAAATCTTATTCCCTGCGCACAACCATTCAAACCTGTATCTGTGAATAAACAAAGCCAGGAATTAGCACGTGAAAGAACCTCATTTTCATTCACAAAAAATAAGATGTTCCCTATTAATTTCTGCACTTAAAACTCAGAAACAGGTTTTCTTCAGAAATTAAAAACTGAAATAACAGTTCCTACTGACAACCGGGGCCTCCAGATTTCCAAATAACATCACTGCTCAAGCAGTATCTTCCCACATTTTTCAGACTCACTCATTGAGCACTTGGAAGCCACACAGTCCTAAGATAGGTAAAAAGGTTTGCTTAACTCAAACTTCAACCTAAGACGACGAGGCAGAGGGAAACTTTTCGCCGTCTCAATTTATCAAAGGTTCGCACAGCATGTTAGTTACACATCTGGAAAGCCAAATTTTACAAGTTGGAATGCACCACCTCAACTGTGGGACTACTCTTATGTGTTCAAGCGCAAAGCTAATTTTCAAATAAATTCAGAGCTAAACAGACTTACTTATCCTCATTATGCAAACCGAAACACAGAAGGTTGCTTCAAACATGCTTTAATTAACAAAGTCCTGCCACATGACCTGAAAACATCTACTCAGACTTTAGCTATGATATGCAAAAACTGCAGAATTGCTTTGTGCCAGATTTTTATCATTAAACAATGATCAGTGTCGATCCATGAAGAGTATATCTTTAGCACTTACACCATTAACAGTCGCCATAACATTGTGACATATTCAAAGTCAAGCTCATGCATAAGTCATAAGCTCACTGGAGGCCTGCATCTGAATGTACATTAAGTAATCGTACCATGGGCGGTGCTGCTTCGTCCATCAACTTCAAGATGAGATTCTGTGCTTGCTCTCGAACTTGGTCTTTGGCATCTCCCATACGATCTATTAAAGGCAGGAGAACTACAGGAGAGGAGGGGGAATAAAGAAAAAAAGATTAAACACCCAACAAAGATTTTCTAATACTTACAGATACTTCCTGAAACAGGTATGAGACATACCTCCCTCAAAAGTAAAATCTGATTTTAAACTGATCCAAATATTTTAAACTCTCAGATGTATTTGTGAGTATGTTACAAGATTAACAACAAATGTCTAGGACTGAAATTGAAAAAAATAGTTATCTTCCAACAGGCTAAAAAGAAATCTTCCCAGCTTAAAAACTGTATGAATGTCTTCAATTTAATCTGCAAGGAGTATGTTAGCAGCTTCTGAATGCCTGGCTGTTCTGAAAAATAATGCTAGGACTTGGGGTGTGAGAAAGAATAGAGAGAAAGGATTATTTGTAAATCAGTGGAACTTTGCTGCTTAATTAAAAAACAAAACAAAAACAAACAAAACCCCCCCTAAAACTAAAAAAAAACCCCAAAACAAACAAACAAAAAACCCCACAAAAAAAAAAAACCACCAAAAAACACAACCAACCAAAAACACCACCACCAAAACAAAAAGCCAAACAAGTTTTAAAAGCTCCTATTCACACAGTGTATCTTCTGGAAACTCGGCCTTACCTCAGTTAAGTATCAGTGGAAGTTACTATTTTAAAACAAGCATCCTCAGATAATATTTAACTAAAATTGCATGACAGCTTAACATTTCACACACTGAAATCAGAATTCACTCAAAATGAAAGGACTTGCCGATTCTTTTCACATGCTTATCCAGAGAGAAGTTCCTAGTTACATCTGATAAGCAAACTGATGCTATGATATTTCGGAAAGTTATCTGAATGAAGGCTTAGATCAGCACTGTGCAAGACGTCCTGCTATACTGGTCCCCATTCCTCTGTCTGGAGCATACACATGTGCTTCCCGAGAGCATTCCCCCCAAGTGCTTTGAGTACCAGTTCTTCAAACCCAGGGGTGATGACACCGAGGGTGCCGTCTTCCCTGAGGAAGTATAACTGCCACGGAATGGGCGGATGTCATCTCCTGCGGCACCGTGCTTTTAGAGTAAGCACACGAAAGACCAGCTGGAAAAAGCAGCGTTACGTGCTAACAGAAACGTTCACCTGTCAACCGCTCAACCTTCTGCTTTAGCTTTTGTTTCTGATCTGATCCACGGTTTTCCAAGAGCTGCAAGTATCACTCACATAATCAAGGTGGAACTTGGTCAGTACAGAACACGATGCCCATCCAAGCCCATCCTTCTGCTCCCACACTCTAGCTAAGCTGGGGCCAAGTTTCCCATTACCATGCAATTCATACCAAACTTCTAAAAATTGTTTATTTTGAGTCTCTTGGAGACTTGCTCATATTAAAAAAAAAAAAAAGATACAGTAACAACTAAAACAACATTTTGCTGCATTTGGTGTTACATCCCAGTTGCTGCATGATCTCTCAGGTGCTGACTGATGTAAAACTAATTTTCCCATTTTAGTCACAGAAGAAATAATTGTATCACCCTATATTTATTGAAAGGGAAATCTGAAAGAATTTTAACAGCATTTGATGGTTTTATAGTAATAACTGAACAACAGTGCTGCCAGCCAAAGAAAAGGAACACAATCCAAATCCGAAGCCTGGGAGGTCTCCTCAGTCCTCTGTTCCTACATTAAAAACTGCAGTCATTTCTGTGCCGTGACTGTTTCTGGACAAATACACTGCTGAAGCTTGAATTTCCCTTCCTGCTCTATCTGACCACTTTGTCCTAATCTGAATATTTAATTCTACTGGCTCTGGATATTCCACTGACATCTTTAACTACCACAATCAAGTTCCTAGCATTTTTCGTCTGTCTTTTCTCCCCTGAATACTTTATTACAGCTACCTTCATTTTCCAATTTGAAGAATCATAGAATCATAGAA